TTTTTACATCCTCGGGAGTAGCTAGTTAGAAAGTTACTGTTAACTCTGCAGCAGCCAGAGAAACCAAACTTAAAGAGCTCCGATGACCCCCCTCTAGTCTCAGGTTCGATGTCTTGCAAACCCATAGAAACACTCTAGTAAAAGGTACATTTACAAGTTGAGAAAAACAAAGGAAAACTAACACGCCTTGCCTGGCTATTTACTTACAAGTTTGAAATAGGAGAGGCTTGTTTAGAAAGATGTGGAGAACCTGGATTGATGTCTGGTCCCTCTCATTCCCGGAGAACGAACCCCGTCCCAAAACAAAGAACACAAACAAAAGCCTTCCCCCCCCCCAAGATTTGAAAGTATCTTGTCCCCTTATTGGTCCTTTAGGTCAGATGCCAGCCAGGTTACCTGAGCTTCTTAACCCTTTACAGGGAAAAGGATTTTGGAGTCTCTGGCCAGGAGGGATTTATAGTACTGTACACAGGACAGCTATTACCCTTCCCTTTATAGTTATGACAGCAGCATTTATTACAAGAGCTTTGATACGCATTAAGTTGGGACCCTAATGAATTCTCAAGCAGCACTTTTCTTTCTTTGCCTACCTGTAAGTTTTTATTATTATTGCTGGAAATATGTTTTTGCAGGTTCGTGTGCGCATGGTGAAATCAGTGTTTACCAACATTTGCCAATCAAAATAGAATTTTCCCAAGCCTAAGCACACCTATTCCCATAATGGAAGGGGATTACTGCCTCCTTTATACCTGTAAAACTGACTTCACACTAGGGGTCTGTATTGGTATAATTATATCAAAGAAAAAATCATCCAGCCCCAGCTCGCATTGTTATACCAGGAGACACACTGTGTGTAGAAGAGGCCTAATTTTGGGATGGAAGTAGCTGACCCCTGTAACTTTTAATTTCCTGGCTTTCATTGCCTTGTTTTCAGAGCAGCAATGCTAAGGGATTGCAATATTGTTTTTGACTGAGAGTTTTGGCTCTATGAAGCAGAACCATGGTATTGCTAGCAAGCCGGTCAGAGCTCATCTCATCCAGGCGAGAGATTTCAGCGTGAGGATTAAGCATGAAAATTTACCAGCCCTGGCAAAAATAAAACCATTCTGCTCAGCATACAGGGGGGCGGCGTAGGCCTAAAGTATGTTGTGGTCACTTAAAATGATTTCCCAGTAGTTTGTGCAAAGAGGTTAAATGGCCTGGTTTAGTGTTAGAAAGTGACACATGGAATCAGGTTCCATTCTAACCTTTTTGCTTTTCTGTACCTCATTTTCCTCATCTGTAAAATGGAAGTTGAGACTTCATTTAGATTGTATAAGAGCTTTGATACTTTGTAATGAGAGGCCTGTCACGAGGGATTTTTTTTTTGCTATATTTGTTTTATTTTTCCAAGCCGCATGAGATGCAAAGTTCACCACTTCCCTTAAGAGTTATCCAATAGTTATCCACTGGAAATGGGTGCCTTATTTGAATTTGAATTGCTAGATCAAAGAGACCTATTTTCATAAAACCATCTTCACTGCCATTAATTATATTCCAGTCATTTAATTCTTTATCAATTGCTGTATCATCTTTTCCAGGGATCAATGTTCGACTAACCAGCCTATTTAAGTAGGTCATCTCACTTTCCATTTTTGAATATTAGCCCAATATTAGCAGTCTTCTAGTCTTCTGGAATTTCCCTTGGATTCCAAGATTTATTAAAAATTAACATCATTGAGCCAAAGGCCCCCTTGGCCAACTCTTCTAGGACACTTGGGTGCAAGTTATCCAAGCCTGCTGATTTAAAACTGTTTATCACTGTTAGATATTGTTTAGCACAATCCTTCATTACTAAAGGACTGAAAAGTAGTTCAGCATCCTCACAAAAACATTATCCAACTTCTTTCCAAATTCGGAACAGAAATATTTGCTAGTATTTCTTCTGTTCCTAATATACTTTTAAAAGTCCTTATTTTCTCTAGCCCTGCCATCTGTGTAGTTTTTCCCTGATGTCTTTAGCTTTCCTTATCAGTGTTCTACACATCATATTTTTTAATTTATATTGATTGTGCTTACTTCCCCTTTTTACATTTGTTATATATTGCATTTTTTTCGATTGCTACATTCAATCCATCACTCAATCATAATGTGCTTTTAGCTAAGGTTATCTTCTTTCTTTTGAGACATAATGCTCTACTGATTGATTTAACGTAAGTTTCAGAAACCTGATATTTTACACCTATAAAGGAATGATCTGTTTATTGCAGTAAAAATGATCTCCACTGAGAAGTTAGGAATAACTGTAGCGAAGAACTAGAATTAGATTTCTGATCCCCTAGTTGAATTGTTTGAAATCCAGCTGCTTTGGAAATTGAAGCTCTGCAGTTTATCACACAAACCAACAATTGTGTATCTAAGGCAATATCAAAGTGGAACAGCTGAGCACGAGCTATTTTGGGAAAGCACTATTTTCGCTTTCATTCTTACTCAAGGTCCGTAATCATTCACATATCTGAATGTACTTATTCGGTCTTCAGACTTCATTATGTCCTTTGAGCTGGGGACAATCTCATCAGAGGTGAAAATGACAATTAGCAGCAACTTCACTGAAATATGGAAAAAACATTTTACTCTTATATCGACGTCAGTATACTCACTCATTTTGGTAGTGCTTGAAAAGATACTGGAATCTGAGTTTAAATGCCCAGAAGATCTGCATTTGAGACGTTCGTACAGCATCTTCTATTTCATTATGCCAGCTGCGACTTTTTTTATATTAGGCATAATTTTCCAGCGAGCGTATCTACATCCTTTTCATAGAGAAAACGAATTCTACTACTTTTACAACAAATGCAAAAGTGACAACAAATGCAAAAGTCACTTTACAGATAAGTGCACGTTTAGGAGCTGCTGGTGCGTTTTGTTAAAGGCTGTTTTCCCTGCTCTGTTGTGGATAGTGATCCTTCTTCTGGATGGAAGATATGCCTACTGCTTCAATGAGAACATCAGAAATTATCAGAATTCCCAGGTAAGATTCACCAGCCTTGAGAGATGAAATAATTTTGCTTTCATTCAGCCAGTTTTCTTGAGTTGCTCCATAATTTTGCCATTTGTGTTTTATATTACGCAGGAAAAATAATTTCTATTAAAAAATTAGAGGAAGCCAGGATCTGCCACCAGTTGCTACACAATGTGAGCCGAGGTTTCATTATTTCTTCAGCTTTCTAAAGGAATGTCCATCCTTGATTGTAGAACTCAGGCAAAGAGTAAACAATATACATAAGATTACTCATGACAAAAAAAAACATGTTTGAGAGGTGGAAGCTAGACAGTGAGTGCAATTATCTGGATTCGTTTCACTTGTGTCACAAAATGTATGGAATTGTTTTTCACTAGTTTCCTTTTCCTGTATGGATGGGAAATGTCTCAATAAATAAAAGGAAGTTAGAGGTTTTTCATTTCTTGGGGCAATCCCAGATGTTTGAGTCCTTGAAGTAATGTAGGTCCAGATTCTCAGAGACAAGGTGGGTGAGGTTATGTCTTTTATTTGATCAACTTCTGTTGGTGAGAGAGACAAGCGTTCAAGTTTACACAGAGCTCTTCTTCACATCTGTGTAGCTCAAAAGCTTGTCTCTTTCATTAGCAGAACTTGGTCCAATAAAAGATATTCCCCCACCCACCTTTTCTCTCTAATATCCTGGAACTAACGCAACTAAACAACTCTGTAAAGAGATCGTTAAATGTATTCAGGCACCTTTGAGGATCAGGGTGGGCCCTCTTGGTCAGCTCCTGTTTGCATATTCCAGGGGAGTTAAAATGCCTTATTTCCAGTCTGAATTTCTCTGTCTTCTATTTCTGGCCTTTGGATTTTGTTAGGCTTTTGCCTGCTACATAGAAGAGCCCATTATGAAATATTTGTTCCCCAGGTAGGTACTTATAAGTCTGATCAAGTCACTCCTTAATCTTCTCCTTGATAAGCTAAATAGAGTGAGCTCCTTGAATCTCTCACTATAAGGCATGTTTTCCAATCCCTTAATCATTTTTATGGCTCTTCTCTGAACCCTCTCCAATTTATCAAAATTTGTCTTGAATTGTGGGTGCCAGAACAGGACATAAGATAACAGGAGCAGTCACACCAGTGCCACATACAGAGGTATAATAACCTCTCCACTCCTATTTGAAATTCCTCTGTTTATGCAGATAAGGAAGCCAAATGTAATGGTCCCTTCTGGCCTCAACTCTATGATGATCATTGTAGCTAAACATAAATAGAAGGATAGTCCTCTAGACCCTTCTGGTGGGATATAAAAGAGTTATAGAGAAAAAGTCTAATGCAAATAACAAGTTTTAACATATTGATTTTTTTTAAAGATTTCGGGACTCATTATCATGTTTGCTGTTGTCAGTATCGGTTTGACATGCACGTGCTGCTGCAAGAAGGGCTACAGAAAAAAGATAACAGTGGATGAAGATAAAATCAAGAATCTACTAGCACAAAAAGCTCATGAGTATATTTTAAAACAGAAGGAAGAGGCTATCTGGCAACGCCTAAAGGATGAATACTTAGCTGACCCAGAAACAATTTTGGTTTCTATTGACAAGGAAAAGATATCTGATATAATAGATAGCGTTTGTAGCAATTCAAGAGAAGGCTCAGCTGACCAAGGAGGACCTCAAGAGACCGCCAGTCTGTTACTTCAAGCGACCTCCAATCCTTTATATCAAGCGATCTCCAATCCTTTATATCAAGGGACCTCCAGTCCATAACCTCAAGAGATATAAGAAAGCTCAAGTTGTCCAAGGGTGTGAGTTTTTTTTGTATTTTAATATGACCACCACAGAAAGACTGGTAACTGATTAATATACCAGTAATAACACCAAACCATGACTACACAGCAACTGCAATCTACTAATTGCACAAAAACCAAAGTGGAAAATAAGGAAGGACATGGATTCCCAGCAGTTCTCCTTCTCCAGCCTCCCCCTGCAATTCTTGGCTTCCTCTCCCACGCTAGGGGGGCTGTAGTGGGTTCCCCTCCCCCATTCCAGGTTGGGGAGGGTGGCTCCAGGGGCTTCTCACCCTCCTCTGCCAGGCTGGTGTTCCAGGGAGGGCAAGGCGGCAGAGCTGTCCTGTCCTGTTTTTCACAGGAGGGGAGGAGGAAATGGCAGTGGAGCCGCCTTGAATTGTTGGTCTCTTTAGGTCCCTCTTCACCCTTCCCCTCCCATGAGAATGGTGTCTGGATGCCGAGGCGGTGGGGAGGGGGAGAAAGCTCCGACTGCAAAGTGCCAGATCCGTAGCAGCACTACATCTCTGCTGGATGAGATTTCCTGAGGTATGTGTAAACATGTGACACAGGGTTCAGATGTGTAAGTCTTACAACTCAGGTGTCTGAGATCCCCAGTCCTTCATTTCACGAGGTCTCCAGTTCTTCACCATAAGAGATCTCCAACCCTTCACTATAAGAGATCTCCAATCCTTCACCTCAAGGGTTCTCCAATTCTCCACTTCAAGAGGTCTCAATACCTTCATCTCAAAGGATCTCCAACCTTTCACCTCAAGAGGTCTCAAAACATTCATCTCAAGGAACTACAGATTTCTGATTTCTAATACTCGTGTAATCTATAAGGGAAAAGCTACAACACAACCTCATAACCTGCTTCTCTCAATTTCAGAACAGCAGAAATGGAAAACAAAGAGAAATTTAAATTAAGGATGATTAAAACTCTGTCCATATCTAGTTAAACAATGGCCATAGGGTGACCACTCATCATTAAAATATCTTCCGATGGCCAAGTAAGTTTTTGAAATTTAGATAGAAGTTTGAGGTAATTACAGTGATTTCTGTTCAGGAAGAAAATCCGAGAGACTGCCAATAATCCGCTCAAGATGCCTGCAGCTGTTAAATAGTTTAAATACAAGGCTTATCCAGCAAATGTGGCTCAATTGTTTTTCACATGCACTAGATTTGCTTTAGCATTTACTTTCATATTTTTATGTATAAGGCATTTAAAAATAAAGGCACTCTGAAACTCAACACTTGTCTCGCTGGTTTGGTTTGGCTTGAATGATCTCACTCAAGGAACAACACACATAGTCAAATTCATGGAATAACCGAAAGCTGATTACAAGGCCTTGAGCAGGTGGGTTGGACTAGTCTGAGCCCAGCCCTCACATCAGCTATACTGGCCAGGGGGACTTAACTTACACTGCTGGAGTGTGGGAGGCAGTGTTGCCTAATGGATAGTGCACAGGGATCCAAGACACCTGGGTTCTAATTCCAGCTCCGCTACTGGCCTGCTGGATGACCTTGGGCAAGTTGCTGCATCTCTCTGTGCCTCGGTTTCCTCCTGTGCACAATGGGGATAATGCTACTGACCTCCTTTGAGACCTATGGATGGAAAGCACTACACAAGAGCTAGGTAGTATCCTTATCATGGTCCCAAAGAGCAGAGTTAGGTAGGAATTGGTTTTCCCTCTGCCACAAAAATCTTAGCGATTTCACAAAATTTCCACCTCATACTAAATCTTGAAATTTTTCTCCAACCAAAAATCTGGGGAAAGTTATTGCTTAGTGTTGATTAAAATGTATCAGTCATTTCAAAACATTTTGTTTCAATTTTGACCATTTAAAATTTTTAACCTTTTTTCTATTATGGGACAACATAGGCCGACAGAATATTCTTAGCCCTTTGTATCAATGTGTTGTATGTATTTGTGTGTGCCTAGTTGCTGGGGGGGATACCCATGGACTCTGGAATCAATCATTCAAGTGCTGCACAGACCCCAACCAAGATCAGGGCCCCCATTGTGCTGGGCGCTGCACAGACTGTGACCGAGATCAGGGAGCCCTTTCCTGTGAAAAGTTTCAGTTTAAACAAATCCACATTTTTTGAGGGGAAATATTACTAATAGAACGTGTAGTTTTAGAAAAAAAATGTGTATGCATTGAGATAGTTTGAAATAGAGTCTGAAAAATCACTGTAGTTTTTTTTTAATAAAACGCTAGGGATTGATTTTTTAAAATGTATGTTTATTGGAAGTATTGTACAATTTTTTTCCTATGTCTGGTTAAAAACTAGGTTAGTTGCTGTATTTTTTACACTTTGGTTTTATTGTGAAAAAGTTTGCTTGTGCTGCACCCATGTGGTGTCAGCAGAAATTGCGCTTGTTTACATTAGTAGCTGTTTTTCAGCTGGTTTTGTGTAAAGGTTTTGAAATATACATATGCAGGGGTTTAAAAACTAGTTTTGCTTGCTGTTGTTAGGAAAAACACATACAGGTTTATGTTTAAAAGCATCTTATTTATGAGTGTTGGCAGATTTATCAAGTGTCATTCTACAAGAAGAAAGATCAAAGGAGAGGTCTTTGAAAAGGGCCAAGAAAACTTCCTCTAAAGCAGCTGCAATTTCCAAGGGTGGGAACAAAGAAACCATTTCCCCTGGTTCTGAACAGCCCAGCACATCCAGAGTCTTTATTATACAGAACGACCGGTCGTTAAAAAGGGCACACTTCCCTGTAGCAGTTGGAGTATCCGGGGATGTGGGTAAGCAATGCAAAGAGGCCAAAACCTCCGATTCTGAACAGCCCAAAGCCTCCACTGCACATAAGAAACCAACTTTAAAAAGGGCAAACAAACCCCTAACCGTGGCAGTATCCAGGGGTGGGCGTGAGCAGGGCCAAAGGTTCAACCCCCTTGATTCTGATCAGCCCAGAGCCATTGCTACAAATAACAATCCACCTGCTGGCTTTGTTGCATCAATTGCTGTTTGTAATGAGCTGTTTAGTACTTGTACGTCTCTTAGGCGTTTAATAGATAAAAAGTTTTCAAAGTTACTTCTTGAGGCGTTTCAAAAGCAACCTTCCAGAAGAAAGGGAGGCTTTAGACCAAAAGACAACAGAAACACATGCAATGATTGTAAAATTGGAGAAAGCAGTGAAGGCTGAAGGGTAGCTGTGACTAAACATGAAACCTAAAAACGTAAAGAGGGGTTGAGAAAAAAGGTGGGAAAGATCTAAAAGACTCAGGAGGCTTTTGGCAAAGAAATTGTAAAAGGTCAGAGCGTTTTTAAGCAGACACCTCCCCCACTAAGAAAGGGAAATGAACGTAGACCCCCCTATCCCCTCGTCTGACGGTGCAGGCAGGACCGGCTCAGCAAGCAGGTGCTTGGGACGGCCAACGGAGAGGGGAGGCATGTCCGGCTCTTCGGTGGCAGGTCCCTCAGTCCTTCTTAAAGTGAAGGATCTGCCGAAGAATTTTTTTGCGCGCTGCTTGGGGCAGCAAAAGCCCTGGAGCCGGCACTGCTCAGGAACAACCCAGGAGCAGCCCAAAGCAACTAGGGATTATCAGGGAATTAGGACCTAAAAGTTTTTAAAAATAATAAAATGTCTGTGGGGACCCTGGTTGCAGGTCTGTACTTAAGCAGATTCAACCTCTGTGTCATTCCAAGACAACATAACCTGTGCAACCTTGAGAGTATTACAAGTTACACACAACACTAAGATGCAATAAAGGCTGATAGTGTGTATCAGTAATTTAGAGTAAACTATATTAGAAGGAATTTGTAATTACCCCAAAAGAAAGCATTGGAAACCAGGAAACTGACAGTTAAGGTGAAACTAAAAAGGAATACAAGGCACTAGGACATTTCCTGACATTTTGGAATTGATTGGATGTGATTTTCAAAACTTGTCATGTTGGATAAATACAGACAGACAGTCAAGGCTGATTTTCCACTCTGGCACTTTGAATGCAGAAGGTGGGGCCCGCAAGGACTCTAAAAATTAATACTTGCCACTCCAGGCTTGTAGTAAACTCCCAAGGTTACAGGTTTTTTCTGACCTTGGATTGGTAAATGCTGCCACCACCCAAGTGCAAAACCCCTCTGAGAATCCAGGAAGGCGCGTGGGAATTCTTCCCTGTGGGGTACTCTCAAGCCCTTTGACCCCCGACTCCGGGGAAGAGCTGAGAAAGAAACCAAAGGAAATGAGCTGTTGCCACCAGATAATTAAATAACTTGCACAAACCTCTTAGGACACAAAAGCCCAATCCTGTTCTTAAAAAGAGGGAAATTTTATTAAAAACAAAAAGAATGAAAACATCTGGAAACACAGGCTATTGCTAGATTTTTAAAAAAAACACTTACAAGGATTAATGATCAAGAATAACTTTCTTGAGGTCCAGTTGAAAGGTTACAAGCAAAACAAAAGCATTTGGGGTTAACACAAAGAAGTCCACAAGCCATATATAAATAAAAGGGATAAACCTAATTGCGTCTTCCAAAACATTTCCTGATCTACTTACATATCTTGGCTTTTAAATGAGTAGCTTCTAGGTATAATCCTAATGATTGTTTCATACCTTGCCCCAAGCTTCTTACAGCATAGTTTTTTTCCTGTTCCCTCGCTCTGGAAAAACAATAGATAGAGAAAAGGGGGGTCTTGGTTCAATTTTAAAAAGTTCTAGCCCTCCCATCAGTTCTCCTGGCTGGGTGCCCACTCATTTCTTTTAACCCTTTACAGGTAGAGCAAGTAGAGAACAGCTACTAAGAGGGATTTTATAGATAACTGGCTGGCTGGATCCATAAACAGAGCTACCCCTTCCCCCCCCACACACACTTTCATTTATCACACAGACAGAGAAATGCCATCACACTGAGTGCACAGCCTCGCTTCCCTCAGCCAGCTAGATAATGCGAGGGTTATCATATGGCTGGGTTTTCCAAGACATGACCTCTCTTTCGATTCGCCGCCCTCCGTCCAGATGGATTTTTCAAATAAGAGGAAATGTCTGGGAAAACTGTCCCTCCCCTGCATCCACAGCTGCTGGATCCCGCCCACCCCAGGCCACCAGGTAAGCATAACCGCCAAGCGCCTCTCAGCTGGGCCACCTGTCCCACCGCAGGGCTTCAGAGCTTGGCTAGGAGGGGTGACAGGGCCAGGCCCCAGCTCCCCACCCTTGGGAGGAGGAGACTCCTGCAGGGAGGAGCTGACAGAAGGGCTGGTGCTGCGTCTCAGGTCTGTGACAGCCACCCTGAACCCATGAGAGGGAGCGACACTGCCCCCCACCTTCAGTATGTACCTCCACCCCAGTTACCTCCTACAGCACCCCAAATAACCCTCCCAGTACACACACCCCTCCAGCTCCCCCCAAACACCACCAAATACCCCTTCCAGCACCGCCAAATATCCCCTCCAGTGCCCCCAATACTCCTTCCAAGTACACACACACCCCTCCAGCTCCCCCCAAACACCACCAAATACCCCTTCCAGCACCGCCAAATATCCCCTCCAGTGCCCCCAATACTCCTTCCAAGTACACACAAACCCCTCCAGCTACCCCCAAACACCACCTCCTGCACCCCCCCAATATCCCCTCCAGTGCCTGCTAAATACACCCTTCCAGTACACATACACCTCTCCAGCATCTCCCGAAATACCCCTCCTGCATCCCCAATAGCCTCTCATGCACTCTCCAAATACCCCTTACAGCACCCCCTATACCCCTTCCAGCACCCTCATCACCCCTCTCAGGATACACACACCCCTCTTACACACCCCAAATACTCTGTCCAGCACCTCCCGAATAGCATCTCCCAGTACACACACACTCCTCCAGCACCCCGAAATACCACTTCGAGCTCCCCCCCCCCCCGCAGCAGTGTCCTCTATTAGGGAGCTTGAAATGCAGGTGGGGTCACCCTAGGTACAGGTGAATTTTAAAGGCAGGTGTTTCTGTTCTACCTCATGGAGTGACCGCACTGGGGCCAGGTTCTGGAAGTCTCAGTGAGCTACAATCCCAGCTGTGTCTGCAGAGGCAGTTCCAGGCAGGCGAGGTGATTCCCTGCACAGCCCGGGCAGAGGCAGCATTGCCCTTTTCTCTCCCCTCATTCTGAAGGCTTGGCCCGGAGCTATGACACAAGGTTGGGTGAGCTGGGTACACACTGGGAAAAGCCCTGAGTGCGGGGACTCAGGCTGGTGCAGAGAGGGGAGCAGAGCCCGGAGGCCTCCAGCCTTGCTTTCTCTCTCCTTCCCCTC